ATTAATTAAAATAAATAAATAAAACTTGATTTCTAAGGACTGGTGGTCCTAAAAAGTGCAAAAAAAAAAAAAAAAAAAGAAGAGAGAAAGAAATTCCCACTTTACAGGAAAGCATTAACCAAGAATCAAGGGTCAGGGAAAAGCAAGGGATGGTTATGATGTTGGCTTAGGGCTTATTGCCTGAGTTTTGAGGCACTATTAGAATCAAGATAAGGCAGTGGGGGTATTTCCTTCCTTGCCCTCAAATGGAGAAGTGGAAATAGATGTTCAAGAGAATGGGAGGCATAGTCTACAGCCTTAAGGATTTCAGTGTTTTTACAAATGTACTTGAAACCAACATGCTGGGTTAGGGAAGTATTTTCCAGGTAGTGGCTCAGTCTACAATTTCACAAAAGAAAAATCCTGTCTCACTCTCCAAGTCAAATTATTTTCCCCCAAGAAAGCAAGTGCGTGTTGACATAGAAAAATATGCTGAAAAGTCAAGTGTTACAAAACAAGTTTCTGATGGCTATATGCTGGGGCCTGATTAGCATGGAGACTTTTGCTCCTGGGGCTTCTGTAAGGAGAATATGGAGCCTTACAAATTTGGCTGGTGATGTCATTCCCCAAGTTCCACAGGTGACTGCTGAGTTATGTGCACTTGAAACAAACCAGGCTAATTGGCTGGGTTTTGGTACAATCTATCATTCTTCCACAGAAGAGGATTTTTGTGGGAGGTGGTTATGTTAACCACAACTTTGAAATAAAGAAATCCCATGCTACTCACTTCTGGTGACACCATCAGAAATTTATTATGGCAAAGAACACAGACTATGTGCTGTAAAATCCCTTAGATGAGCTCACTTGCTCACCTTCTTTCTCAATCTCTCTGTCTCTCCTCTCTCTCTCTCTTCCCCCTCTCCTGTCTCTCTCTCTCCTTCTCTCTCTCCCTCCCTCCCATCCCTCTCCCTCTCCCTCTCCCTCTCCCTCTCCCTCTCCCTCTCCTTCTCCCTCTCCCTCTCCCTCTCCCTCTCCCTCTCCCTCTCCCTCTCCTTCTCCCTCTCCCTCTCCCTCTCCCTGTCTCTCAATAAAAAGTGATTAAGGGAGATTTAGTTTGGATGAATTACATGCAAGGTTGTTTTACATAAAACAAACTTTTTCCATGATACTGTATTTCAGTCTCTGCTTTATCATTGCTTTTTTGTTTGAATGAATGCAATAATATTACCAAAGCCATCCTCCATTACACCACCATTTGCCTTCACATTCAAGGCAACGATGTCATTTTCCGATGAAGCTATTTGTCCTTGTTAACAAAGGCAAGGCAGTTGGTACATTCAGACTCAATTACCAAGTTGCATGATTGATTCAAAGATATTGCTGGGAGCTGAGGCAAATGAAAGTTGCCATTAACTGTTCAGTATGTTCTCTTCTGCTAGATCTAATGGGAAAAAAAGACTCGTATAGCTGACCCTAAGAGGGAAATGGAAGGGAGTTAGATCAGTTACCAAGGAGGCAGACTCTGAGACAAAGATTATGGTGCAAGATGTTTATTAAGATGTGCCCTTGGGATCTACACCTGGAGAAGAGAGGGGAGGGAATCAGGAGTGGGTAGAGGGAAAGATGTGCTATGATGCAAGTCCAGTGATGGCTTCACTGAACCCGTTGGGAGCTCTGGAGCTGGTAGGGCCCTTTAGTGTTGCACTGAATTGAGCTAAGATGAACCAAGGCCTTGCCACTCTGTATTAACTAGTCTTTGGATGTGGACTGTCCGGAAGGAGTATGACCCTGAGTGAAGTAGCCCTTTGCATCTGAGGCAATGCCTGGAAGAGTTGATAGAGGCTGTCTGCTGACAGCACTGCTGGGGTCTAGACCCCAGATTCTAGGGCAGTTGTCCTCAACCAGAGATGATTTTGACCCTAGGGGACATTTGACAATGCCTAGGAATAGATTTGATTGTCACAACTGGGGGGGGGGGGATGCCACTTGCATCAAGTGGATAGAGAGAGTCCAGGGATGCCACCAAACATCTCACAATGTACCACACAGCCCCCAACAACAAAGCGTTATCAGGTATGAAATATCAATAGAGCTGAGTCTGGGAAGCCCTGCTGTAGGGCAACAATTTCCGCTTGAGGGGGAGCTTGGTGGCCATGCCAGTACCCACCTCAGGAATCAGCATTAATCGAGATATTACTGTCAGATTCAATGCTCTGTGTTCCTTATTTCTCCTAAGCTTCCCCCAGACCCTTTGAAGTGAGTCTCATTTCCTCATTTGTTTCCATTTACTAATGAGGGAACTGATGTTCAGGAAAGTTCAGTAAACTACCCAACATCGTGAACTGGAAAGATGCCCAGGTGGAATTTACAGTGGGCTTGCTTGTCGAAAACATGGTATCTTCTGGCCTCTGCTTGATGGCTCCGTGTAGCAATTCTCAAACCTTTCTCTTTCTCTATTGCAATCACAAGATGGGTGTTTACGTGTTCAGTTCACTCTCATGGAATTCCTGGGGCATGAACTGTAGACTCACTTCCCTCTATCTCATTTAAAAAGCAGAGTGGAACATGAGTGAGCACGGCACCCATGGGGATGACCCTGAATCCTCTCTAATTTGTATTTGTATTTTCAGGTAGGCCATCCCTGAACTCTGAGCCCTTTCTATTACTATCAAATTGCTTACAGTGAGCATGCAGCTGGTTTTCACATGGAGAGAAAGGCCTGTCAGTGGTCTTGGTGAATGCCTTTAAAAAGATGAGAATATTTCCAGGAGGATTTGTTTCACACTCTCTCAGTCATTTGAGCGTCTGACTTCAGCTCAGGCTCAGGTCATGATCTCACAGTTCGGTTTGTGAGTTCAAGCCCCACATCAGGCTCTCTGCTGTCAGTGCAGAGCCCACTTGGGATCCTCTGTCCCCGTCTTCCTCTGTGTGTGTGTGTGTGTCTCTCTCTCTCAAAAATAAAACATAAAAAAAAGAAACAGTAGCACTTCACTGTTCCTGGTGAAGGAACAGAAAAAAGAAACTTATCATTTTGCAGACATATAGGTGAGCTCAAGAGTTCATTATTACTCTTTCTCAAACAAAATCACATAAATTGTGACTTTTTAAATAGGACATCCATGTAAAGGTAATAAACATACAGTCTATGAAAATGTTAAGGAAAATAAAATATAGTACACACTTAACCCAAAGATATAAAGAAAAAAGATAGACATTGCATCATTATGGAGCTCAGTAATAATGCTTGTTATGACAGTCAAACAGCTGCAGTTCTTAGATTCTGTAGCACAGTATCAGTCACATGTTTCAAAAATTCTGTCATCGATTTCTACAGCCCATTTCTATATGGTGAATGCTAGCATCTTCATTTTCAACCGAAAAATAAAAAGACCAGAAAGATAAAAACAACTTGATTAAATTTACACAGAGGTACATTGGCAGAGGACATTGCTATGCTCAGATCATGTTCCTCTGTTAGAGAGCCTAATTTAGAGTTAGCTGTATATTCACATTTGTTCCTACACTCTTTCAGTCAAATTCTTTAAATATTGCTAGGTAAAATATGGGGTCTTAGTCATTTGGGCTGCTATCACAAATTACCACAGACTGAGTGGCTTCAACAACAAACATTTATTTCTCACAGTTCCGGAGGCTGGGAAGTCTGAGATCAAGATGCCAGCAGATCTGGTAAACCTGGAAAGGGGCTTGCAGATGGCTGTCTTCCCATCGTAACTTCTGGAAGGGAAGAGCAGAGAGTGCTAGCTCCCTTCCTCTTCTTATCAGAACTCCAACCCTGTCCTGGGGCCTCTACCGTCCCCCTCCTTAACTTCCGAAGATTCCACCTCCAGATACCATCACGTTAGGGCTTCAACATATAAATTTGGGGAGACACAAACATTCAGTCCGTTGCATAAGGTATAAGCAGTAGTGTGTCTGTAAATGGTGAAAAAACTTGGGTGCCTTGGTGGCTCAGTCAGTTAAGCGTCCGACTCGTGATCTCCACTCAGGTCATAATCTCACGGTGTGTTGACTGCTTGGGATTTTGTCCCTCCTTCTCTCTGCCCCTCACTTGCTTTCATTCTCTCTCTCTCTCTCAAAATAAATAAATACAATTTAAACAAACCTGACTCTAAAAAATGAGTATGTATGTATGTATACATGTATTTAAAATTTTACTAATAAAAAGAATGTTTAGCACACAACTTACAAATAAAAATAAAATATACAATGTATATTACTTATTATATATAATACATTTATTATACATTTAATAATAAATTCTTTATTATAAATTCTATACAGCAGATTGATTCTTACAAAAAACTTTTGTAAATGTTACAAAAACTTTGCATCTATAGCCAACCTGTGGTTTCCACTGACCCACAAGTGTGGTCCAACATGAAGTTTGATTAATGTTTTCAAGTTTTAAGCTACCAACATGACCACTCTCTCTCTCTCTCTCCCTCTCAAAATAAATAAATAAGCATTTAAAAATTTATAATATATAATATACTTATATGTTATATAACATATGATATATTTATAAATGTATATGATATTTATATTATATAGAATATATTATTCATTATTTATATTATATTACATATTATATAAATGTATAATAGACATAGGTCTTCTCAAGAGCAGAGGTAATAGTAAAATGTAGCAAACTAGGAAGTGATGAGATGATTTCTGAATATTTGTTTTATATATAACATTTCATTGAAGGCTTATATGACTTAATTTCTTAATTATAACTAGATTTAACAGTTGGTTCACAAGATTCCTGGAAATTTTACAGTTGACTCTTGGGAGCTGATGTGATTGCTGCTGATAAGGAGAAGTTTTCAGTTTTGATACATCCATTTCCACAGTGTCTCCTTCTCCAACTGAGTAGGGTTTCAGAGGTCTGAGCATATGAATAGAGAACATCCCATATCAAGCAAATAGATACTGAAATAGATGATGTCAGCAAAGTTGTTCCTTTAAAATTTATTGTTATTTTTGTGGTTTATTCACAGGCATTTCCCTGCATCTCAACCGGCATTTATGGTAAGTGATCTAGCTTTTGATAATGTTTGTATTTCTTTATTTTGCTGTTAAAGGCAAGGCTAACAGGAGAAATAAGAGGTCCTCTGATGGATATAGTTTTCTGTGCTTTAAAGAGACTCAAAAGGCAGGTAGAGTCTCTGAGTCCTACTGTGGACTCTGAAGAGGCTATTCAGGTATTCTGTGTTCTTGGATTTTATTGTATTGGATACCACCTGTAATGATTTGATACACTGTGGCACAATGTCTTTGGTTAAATGAAAAATCTTGCTTTAGTAAGATTTGACCTCTAATGGGTTTTCTTTCATAAAGTAAGGCTTTTCTCTTACGTGAATCATTATGCATATAAAGCCTAGCATTATCATTATTTTGTTGTGAACTACAAAATAATGGAAGCATTGATATGTACGCACATGCATGTATCAGTATATTTAATTTAAAAAAAAACCCTAAGAAGTGACTGTTGATAAAAACAAATTAATTTTTGTGATCTTCACATATATATTTTTAGTCTTGAGGGATTGTTTTAAATAGTGACTGCTTCACTTACAGATAGAGGCAAAATGTTCTTGTAATCACTTGTTTTCACTAACCTAAAGCTCTCTAAACATTATTTTACCTACAATGACATTTCCTGGTGCTTTTTTTTCCCTCAAGCCATTATTAAATCTGTTTTACAATATTAAGGTAACATGGGGTTTAGTTTTCATTTTAGAGTTTTCTAATCAAGAAAAATAGATTAGACCCTTATGAACTCAAACTTCTCACATGGTGGCTCTCAACTGAAAAATAAAATATGTACAAATGTAAAGAAATAATTTAAATTCATCACTCCAGGGAAGAGATATCTAGAATGATGTCAAAGGTAGGAGATTTATTTCTTCTTAATATGGTATTTATTTTGAAGATCTTGGTGAGAATAAAATGGAAAATATAAGCCTGAATCAAATTAAATGAGGAAGGATTTGGTCACATCATTTAAGAATTTAAGGCATGCCTTTTTTCCTCTCTGGATTCCACTATAGCCTATGTTTATGGAAGCAATGGACACTGGGCTGGAGAGGGGTAACTGGACCATCTGTAGAATCTCTATCATGGCAATTCTTCCTACCTTAGGGATGCCTAGTTAGAGATCTTAAATATTTGTTTAAAGGAAACAGTAAAATACAAAGTTTTGCCTGAGCAAGAGCCCACATCTCCCTTTCATCTTGTCTGGAGTCAAGCATCTCCCCTGCTTGTGCTCCCTCTCTCTCTAAAAATAAAAGAGAGAGAGAGAGAGAGAGAGAGAGAGAGAGAGAGAAGGAGGGAGAATCTTAAGCAGAATCCGTCCTAGTTCAGAGCCCTACACGGGGCTCTATCCCACAACCCTGGGATCATGATCTGAGCCAAAGTCAAGAGTTGGCTCCTCAACCAACTGAGCCACGAGGCACCCAATTACTCCAGTTCTCTTGTGGACCATTTCGCATTTTGCAACTTGGAATTTATTTCCTATGTCCCTTGTGAAGTCAGCTTTCTGATTAGTCCTTGATTCTCTCCCAGTACCCATATATTATAGATCAGTCCTTCTCTCACTCTTGCTCCAAACCCTGCTCTGCTCTTCATTATCCAGATAAGTTTTACTTTTCTCTCAATTTATTGGATCCGAAATAATACTTTATTTAAATAAATTGGTCCACAGCTCAAGAGAAAAGTTTTAAAAAGGAAACAAACAAAATCCACAACACTTTGTAAGTCATGTGAGAATGGATTTAGAGAAAATATTCACATCAATCTCCTGGTTCTAGGCCCCCTCCTTTCTTAATATATTTTCTACCATACTAGATTAATTTTTCTAAAATACCACTTGGTGCATGTTTCCCGTCTGCTCAGGAGCCTTTGATCATATTCCATTACTTGCAGGTTAACATTTACTCTTTCTGGACTGAACAATAGGTGCCTTATGTATCTCCCTAAACCAGTGCTTTCAACATTTGTGAAGAGAGGGGCTCCTGGGTAGCTCATTCGGTTAAGTCTTTGACTTCCACTCAGGTCATGATCTCACTGCACCTGAGTTCAAGCCCTGCATAGGGCTCTGTGCTGAGAGCTCAGAGCTTGGAGCCTGCTTCAGATTCTGTCTCCATCTCTCTGCCCCTTCCCTGCTGGTTCTCTCTCTCTCTCTCTCTCTCTTTCTTCCTCTCCCTCCCTCTCTCTCTGTCTCAAATATAAAATAAAACAAAAAAAATTTAAAAATTTGTGAAGGGAGAAGACATCTCTTCTCAAGGATGTGAATTGGTGTGCCAAGAAATTTGTATGTGCTTTGTTTTTATATCTGTATTTTTTTATTTATTTTGAGTTTATTGTGAGAATCCCAAGCAGACTCCATGCCCTTAGTGCAGAGCCCAATGTGGGGATCGAGCTCATGAACCATGATGACCTGAGCCGAGATCAAGTCAGGTGCTTAAACAGCTGCACCACACAGGTGCCCACTTTTGTGTCTTTAAAAGGATGATTTACTCTCCAGCATTTCCTAAGGTTATTTGACCTTTGTTATTTTCTCAGCTTTCTCAGGACTTGTGTTTTCTCCAGAATATAGTTGGAAAGATTTCTTATCATATACCCAGTGTGGACACATCTTCTATCACCCTCAGATGAGCTGATAAGTCTCAGAACATGTTATATAACTTTCCAGGTTCAATCCTGTGTTCTTCCTTATAAGATGCTCACACATGCCCACATTCTCATATGCACACACACTCATACACACATGTGCACTGAAATCACACAGACGTTGACCACCACTGCTCTTTCCCCCATCCCCAAATAAAGACATACTGTGCACACTTAGGCAGGCAACTATTAATCTCTGAGAAGTCTTGAATATGCCAACTCTTAGTGGTCATTATATCTTTTGAAATCTTTCAGCATTATAATCCGAACAATTAACAATGGCTCTTTCATATTTGTCCCATAGATGCTTGTTTACGTATCCTGTGCTCACAGCCAGTTTGGAATTCTTTAATGAGCATGGATTCACTTGTGCATATTCTGTGCACAGCCAGTGCCTAGTGTTATATCTATAGGACAAGCTCAGCAAATATTTGCTGTTTGATAACAAGGATAATGATTATAACCCAAAGTGTTGCCTAACTGAAGATACACAAGAAACAGAATTGTTGATTGGCAAAATAACTGATAGAGAAAGGCTTCCTAGTCAGTATTTTCCTGATGGACAAACATCTCTATTTGAGGAAAAACAAATATGTTTCTCAAAAGCGTTCTCAACTAAAAATGGTATTTGTGAGAATGGCACTATCCACCTTGTTAAGGTAAAATGAAAACTCAAGAACTTTTTCAGTCAGAGAGCCAAGCCATACACAACACTTCACTTAAGAACATGCCCCTTTGTTGTTTATTATGGCCCATGGAACAATTGTCAGTCAGAGAGGTACAGATTGGCCTCGAGGCCCTACCCTAACTTCTCTGGACATACCAGCCCACTTGCCTGCCTGCTGTGATTTCTTAGACACTTGTTTTCTTTAGATTTACAAATCTTTACTTTTAGATTTATGGCCTACAAACCCACTGTAACTCTAGTTGCACTACAACAGAGTTTTGACTATGGTACAGCTATCATTTGAAAGGGGGTTGGTTATTTAATTGCCAAAACTGATTTCATACCGGGGTAATTTCAACAGTAAGCATTCTCATTTCGTGGAAACTCAGACATCATCACCACACTCACAGTGTGTCTGGAGCATGTGACAGTACCAGTACATTGGAGGTCCTTTAGCTACAGAGGAAACCTGTGCCCTCCCAGCCTCTCCCCACTCCTCAGCCTTTTAAGGAGCGACCTTGGTGGCGGCAAAACCCGCCACCCCTTCCTGAGAGACACACACTGATGAGTATCCGCTGTGCAACACAACTGCATTTTGGGAAGGCACACGATGAGAACAGGCCCTGCCTGCTTTGAAGTCCTCCTGGAAGAGGAACCAGACTTTTCCACTCTGACTTCCAGTAACTGCTGTGACTGTTCCAACATAATGCTTCCAGAGGGCACCAGACTCTGCTTACACTCAGGATGAAAAGCCACATTTGGTAAAATACCAAAGAAAAGCCGGTGTTACTTTTGGAAAAATAGATCCAGATGAGGCTTACAGGGGCTCTAAACTCCCAGATTCCTGTGAAAGATTTGAATTGGCTGCTGAACCAGTCTCAGAGGGACAGATTTGAACTTCCCTGATGGACATTTCAGATCTCGTGCGTGCCTTCTGCCCTTTGAGCCTGACTTGGACGCTTTGGTGCTAATAAGTTTAACAAAAGAGGCTAGACATGATACATGGCAATGGAATTTTTACTGAGAAGTGAACAGCAAAAATAATTTTAGTCTGTTTTATGAGAGCCAATATAGTTAACAGAAATGAAGTCCAGGTGGAAAAGTGTATCCCTTGAGTAATTGAGAAAATATTCTCTGTGGAGTAAAAGAAAAAACTTGAATCTTGCTTTCCAGGTACGAGGTGGCGGTTTTAGAGAGGAAGGAATTTCAGACATTGAGTTATTGGCTGGAAATTTGTGGAAGAAATTTAAGCAGCGTAACTTAGCTAAAAGCAGCTCTCGTATTTAGTCAATATATTTCTGTTATCAGTGTTGAAGGCCTGTTTCTATCACATCACCTGGCGTCCCTCCGCTTTCTTTGAAATGCTGCCAGAACACAGCTTTTCTAATTGAATCCCTCATTTGCATTCACATTTGCTCTTTTGCTTCTAACTGGTAAAACGAAGATGAGCCCAATGTTTCTTTAACCTTATCCCTACTCGGCAATATATATATATATATATATATATATATATATATATATAATCACTACATCTGTCCAAATTCGCAGACATGACTTGGAAAGAAACCAGGACATCTTCCAACGGCAACGCTTAGGGCATGCTCTCTGTCAACTTTAAATGCTGACAGATTTCAGAGGGTGTGACAACTATTGCCGTGCAATTCTGGGCTCGCTGGGAGAGTTATCTTAT